TAATAATAATAATAATAATAATAATAATAAAGCAATACTCACTTTGGGAAGTTTTGCATATTTTCCAACTCTTGTATCTCGGATGGTAGCAACATCCAGGAAGGTTGTCTCCTAGAAACAAAAAGCAGAGTCACATCCAGYACTAAACTCTACAGGCACTCGGCCAAAGATAGATTTAGAGAAAAGTCAGGCTTTGGCAAAGTTAAAAACTATGATTGACATTGTTTGTGCCATGAAAATATCACATTGTCTGAAAGAATCTCAGCAGAGCTTGTTTTTTTTTTTCTTGTTTTTTTTGGATGTGATGAAAAGTAAAAGAGGCTTTGMTGGAGGAACGAAGCAGTAAATGACAGCACAGTGAACCACATCAGCACCGACGCATCGCTGCCAAGGCAGGAAGGAGGTTGAAGAAGCTGTGAGTTATCTCACGGCTCTCACAGATCCTAATCACAATGTTGAAGTGAAACTGGGACACAGTTACCTCTGTCTGATACGCTTTTGGATATCTAACACGATCCAAATCGTCTCTTCTGAAATAAAAGCACTTTTCGTGATGTCTTTTTACAATTAATTCTCAGTTTTTGTAGGCAGTGTCGTAGCGTAGGAAAAAAAAGCTCACAAGTATGATGTAATCCAGCGCAATTGCTTTAAATCTACACTCATTAAAAACCTTTTTAATTGAACTCAAAGGCTTTTCACTGTAACACCAACTAATTAGGATTCCCAGCATTAGATCAAAGTAGATAAAAGGCCCGTTCATGTGAATAAYCCTGCTTCCTTCTCTCAAAATTACCTTGCTTTGGTTGACCCAGTAGACATAAAACCCTTTTGGATCCATCTTCATTGTGACCGGAACAGTTTTCGTTGAGTCCTTGAAGACAACAAGAAAAATGACTTTACTTTTTAGGTTCATTGAACTAAAGGTGGACAAATCTGTGAAGAGTTTTGAGTTATAAAGCTAACGAAAAGACTTTAAACTTTTATTGAAGCAGCTTTATATCAGTTTTCACTCACCTCCGACCACTTGGTGAATCTATCTCCTTTGACCAGATAGTCTTTGACCTCTGGAGGCTCAAGAAAGAACCTTTTCTTATTCATCTTGTCCTTCTAAAACAGGATTTGGTTCAGTAATACTATAGCTGAAATAAAGCCACTGTTGAGAACTCTGCCATGGTTTTATCTATAAACAACCTAATTCTTCCATCTGCATCCAAAAGACRCACTAAACTGGAGCTTGTTGCATCTGACTGTAGCCAGGACGCACCCCAGCTAGTATGAATTGCAAATGAAGTTAGGAGAAAAAAAAAACTTGTAATGGAACTATGGCTGAATCTGCTGCGGTCAAACTGCCTGTAGCTTCTGGACTCTGTCGAATGTTTTTATTTAAAGTGATAAATAAATATAAAATAGTGAGGTGGGTGTCAGAGGTGGACACTAACGATGTATACTGTTACAGTACTTAGGTAATTTTTTGAGAATCTGTAATTTTACAAAGTATTTTTAAAAATTTTATTCTGTTAGTGCATTCAAAACATAAAAATAYTTTTACTTCTTTAAAATTTAACACCTACACGCTACAAACTTAAATGTGATTTTTGTGTGCAATCCAACACTTTCTTATGTAAAAGTATTGTCAGCAGTTTTATGACTTTTACTTAAGTACTTTACTTTGAAATTAAGTCGTTTTCTGTTAAAGTATTTTTACGTTTACTTTTTTCCCCCCCAAGTACACTTCTGGTTAATGTATTAATTTAAATGTCAGCACAAACTCCACCACACCCCCCTAAAAAAGTGACACAAGACGATTTAATATGATACAAAACATTTCTACACATAAAGATACGATCAGTATGAGGAATGATAAAAACATGGTGAGTTTAAGAAAAATTATGTCAAATGGTTCCACTCAACTGAATTTGGTAAAGATAATGCATTTACTTTACATTTTCTTTAGGTAAACGTAAAGTAAATGCATCACCTTTACTCATTGCAGTTGAGTGGAACCAGCTGACATATATTTTTTAAAGTCATTACATCTATTTTTTGAGTGCAGTAAATGATATAACTCATTATATTACAATATTATTCAATACAACAAAATGTAATATGATTTAATACAGTGTGTTATGATAGATAAATACTTTATTGTAGTTTTTATATCGCACAAATAAATAGTTTTTCTGACTGCATCTCTCCACACTCAGTGATTGGCTTCTATTTAAATTTTAAATGCTTTTATTTTTATATATTTTCAATCATCAGTTTAGGATCATTCTGTCATGATCTACTCATGGCAGGAGAAAAAAGGCCAACTGCAGGATCATTTGGATAACATTCAAATAAGCCTTCTGACTGTGCGATAGCTAATGCAAACAGTGGCACTTGGGACCTTCGAGGAACCACTGCAGGGTCAGTTTATTACCAGGTAAATGCACATGGATATGAGAAGACTACGTGTCCAAATGAGACAGGACAATAAAAACAATCAGACCTCCAATATTTTATCACGAGCAACTGCTGGGAACACTGGTCAGCTGAAACTATACAAAAATAAAAAGGAAGTTGCTGCTCAAATTGTTAGAGAGAAACTTCAAATTTTTTACCAAATATTTTAAAAGCATTATTGAACAGCTCACAGGAATATATAAAGCATAATATGTAATATATAATATATGTAAATATATAATAAAAATCAGACCCCCGTGACCCTGAAAGGAAGCATAGATAAAAGATGAATAGATGTATAAATATATGTGGGAGACTGTGACAAAAAGATTCAATGCGATCTGCTGGCTTTCTTAGATTGTTGTTTTTTACACTGCCCTGACATGACTTAGTGATATACAAATAATCTGAAATGAACRGAATTAWGTGTAATTTGTGTAGCTGTTATGGGTAATCTCTTGCTTAGAGGATGTGTTGTGAAAGACTTCGCTACTAAAACATCAAATTTTAGCTCAAAGTCTGTTAAATTTGATGAGTTACATCCAGGGGCGAGCAGGGGTAGGGGGGCCACTCGCCAACTTTGGAACCTGAYTGACCCCACAGTTGATCGACGTGTCATAAGGCCATGAAAGATGTTCTATTAGAGTGGAAGACAGAAAAGCTTGATTAAATATAGATATTTTTCGACACAGTTATTGTTTGTTGTTTGTTTATTTTTGGAATGACAAACAGTTTACAACCTTCTGTGTAAGTTTAGTTTGTAATTTGTGGGTCATACAGTGCAAAGAAGGAAATCTTTTTTGTTTTAGTTTTCCAGGACCATTCAGGCTCTGAATGATATGGAGTCTTTAAAYATGAAAATAAACCYTTAACTGAGAAATTAATTAGGTTTCTGCATATTATTCGGGCATCCATCCAGAACATTTTCTTAGTGGCCTGTATCATTTAAATGAGGAGCGTCAACTCAGTTTTACAGARAGGGCCAAAATTATCTTTTATAAATTATGTTTTATGTAGCATTTAGAACACACATAAAGAAAATATATAAAATTTAGAAATACATCATTAGTATGCCATACTCTCTATCAACAACGGTTTCGTTTAAATATATTTTCCCAGCAAATATTAAAAGAAAACTCAAAAATCCAGTTATTCAGCTTTTAAATAAGAAAAAATACAGGAAAAAAATAATTAAAGTTTATTTGTTGCCAAAATCAAAGAGTAGTGGAAAAATCAAACTTTATTTTCTTGACTTTAAAGTTGACCTGTTGTTATAAGAATAAGGAGAAACTAAAACTATCCACATTTAAAGAGTTACCTTTGGGGACAAATAAAACGTCATCAAGGGCCAGATTTGGCCAAAGGGCCTTAAAATTGACATTTAAATCCATCCAGTCATCTGTGTGATATTTTGCTAACAGACACGACATTATTATCACGTCTTTGCCCTTTTTGTTGGCGGGTGATAAAAGTCTCGTAACTCCGAGCTTCTTCGTGCGCATGCGCAAAGTAGAGCTCTCCTTGACAGAAGGACGCGTGAGGTCGCAGCTCAACCAGAGATGTGCTCCACATGTTCCTGGCTGCTGGATGGCGCGTTACATAAGAACCTCAGAAGAAAATAACAACTGGGCTCCGTTGTCTCGGCGCGCGCATCATCCAATCCACGTGGGTGCGCGCATCTCAAAACTCCCCCCAACCCCCCACACATCATCATGCAGCGTCCTGATGTGAAGGTGATGATGTCTTATTTTTTATGTATTTATTCATTTCCACTCTCTGCCTCTTTAAGAGCRCCCCCCCCCCCCCCGCCCCCTCTCCTGTATTTTTAGCTGAGCCAGCAGCTTCATCCGCTGGATAAGACGCGCATCTGTGCGCCGTAAGATCGCACTTCTAAAATACACATCAAATCCCGCGGCCTCCAGCCAGATGTTCCCTGCAAATCTCAAAGGATAAGACGGAAATCTTTTTTTCTCTCCCCCAGGTCTCGGATGCTGAACAGCCCCCAGCCTCGCTGCCTGCCMGTGGATAGCTCGGTTATGAAACGCAGCGCTGCGCCGGGGAGCCCGAAATGAAGCGCGGCGGCTCCGAGATCAGGTGAACCGAGGAGGAGGAGGAGGAGGAGTAGGAAGAGGAGGAGGAGGAGGAAAAATCATCTTCCAGCTCTTCAAAATCTCCCCCCGAACCTTTCTCTTGCGCTCCCCTCCGAGGAGAACCGACACAGCCTTTCAAGACGGAGGGGGTAGTGGAGCATCGAGGGAAAAACAGGGGCAACATGAAAGAGCGGGACTTCATGCCCAACATGGAGAGAGGCAAACCTGCGACTTACACGGGGGACAAAAAGGCTAAAATGGCTGCTAAGACGAACAAGAAGTGGGTGAGACTCGCCACCGTTTTTGCCTACGTCCTGTCGGTGTCCTTAGCAGCCATCATTCTGGCTGTTTACTACAGCCTGATCTGGAAACCGACCGGCGCGTCCTCCGCTTCCATTGGGAAGCCCGTTGGGCCCGAGGAGGTCCCCCCCACCGCGAACAGCTCCTCGGTGTCTCCGAACAGCTCCGTGTCAGAGTTGAACTCCACGCAGACCAGGCTGCTGACCGTCAAGCAGGGCTGGCTGGGCACAACCCCGCGCAATCTGGCGTTTCAGTGGGACGAAGGGGTGGAGAGGGTCGCCACGGAGGAAGGGCTACACGCGCCCTCTTACGGACGCACGGACAGATCGGACACGTCTCCAACACGGATCCCGTCCAGCACCGCGGAGTCCGTCGCTCCTCTTATCCAGGAGGAAGAGGAGGAGACCTGAACCCTGAGCCTGACCTGAGGGGAGGCTGATCCCCATGCATCCCTGATCCTCTGACTCCAAACCCCCCTAAAAACATGGAGTGTTTTACATCCTCAGTGCCGCAGGTCGGACAACACAAAGGTTTTTCTGCGTAAAAACTCCACAATGGATGCTGAAGTGCACATTTTTGCTTTTATGACTGAGAAAAGAGGACCTCACTGTTTTCCCCTTTGTTTTATTCAGAACATCTGTATGCCTTAAAAATCAGTTTGTGTCTATTTTGCCTCGGACACTTTTTCAAGTTTGGATAAAACTGGGTAAAGTAAGGATTTAGAGTCGGAAAAAAACAAACTAAAAAAGGGTATATTTTTGGTTTTGCAAGACCTAATWTGTCTCACACGAACAACGCTTTAAACTACTGCCATTTATTAGCCGGTTCAGATTCATACATGCATTATTTTAATAGAAAATGGGTAGAACCTGCATTATTAAGTTATGCTCAGGTACAGTATGTGCATATAACCATGTAAATGTTATGTGTATTTGTACATTTAAGACAGGCATACATATTTTCGCCTTGACTAACTTTTAGTGGAATTAGGTGATTTTTATTAATGTATGATAGATATAATTATATCACAACGTACAAATAAACATCCTTAGACAATAATTAATTTCTATGGTTTTATATACACTATCATCCTTAAAGCCATAATTTAAATGAATGGGTTTTTTTGTTTGATGGTTTGAACAGTGACTCAGTTCAGAGTGTTACTAAGGCATCTCTGCACCTGCTGTTGGGTTAATCAGATTTCAGGAGGCGCTTTGAAAATTGTTGTGATAATTGGGTCCTTTAGAGTCTGAGGTGACTGCAGCTCCCAGACGCCACAGCTCGCACTTCTTACGAACCGAGAAGTGGAAATCGGACCGGCCTCCCCGTCCGCTCTCTCCCTCAGCATCATGTGAGGGAGGCGTATCGATCCGAGCTCTCTCTGTTTGTTGTTACTGTACAAAACAGAGGAGCACATTACACAATGCTGCTATTTTCATTCAGCTCTTTCTTTAAAAGCATCGCTTGGCTGAAAAGGTTTGGTTTTTCTGCTGCCAGTGGAAAAACGCTCATTAAAAAAAATGTAAAAATTAAATTGTATGATTTCYGCCTGAGCAGGCGCCGCGTTAGACTTTGATGTAAACAGTGATGACATGCCTCGTTGTGTCAGTGTCCTGGATGTTCATTCATCAGAGAGAGCAGACAGCGCAGAGCACATAACACAACAGATGTAGCAGATATATTACCGGTGCTTTTTTTTAAAAATTATATAGACCTGATGGAGCGGCTCATCTGAGGGGATGGTTATGGCTGGAAGCTACAGCTGAGTCAGAACGCACAGACTATGACCTCACAGCTCTTGAACCTGTTCAACCGGGCAGATGATGACATTATCTGACATGAAATCAGTTCCAAAGAACACCTCAGTTTGAGATTTGTTTGTTTTGTGACAAAGGACAACAAATCCCACAAATATAAATAAGCAAAATGACCATCACTTCCTGGTGGTTGTATAACCCCAAATCCAAAAACTTTGGGACATTGTGTAAAATGTCAATTAAAACAGAAGGCGATAAATTAGCAAATCTCATAAATCCATATTTTACTCAAAGTGGAACAACTTATTAACTCATTTTTGGATTTTAGGGTTGGGCAATATTGGCAAAAAAATTAATCATGATTAATTGTGGTATTCAGCTGATAACGATTAATTTGACGATTAATCCCCTGGAGTCCATGGACACCCTTATTTCATAGTCACATGACCAATTTAGTGGGAAAGTTCATAAAAATCTGTTCCAAATTGTGTCAAAATTACAGACTTCAGGCTAYACATCAAATTTTAAATTGTGTTGATAGATAAATAAGTTACAGAACTTTTTTTTATGTTCGTCATATTTGAAGCTGAGAGGAGCAGCGAGCGGATTCTACCTGTTAGCATTAATCGTATTAATTGTCAAGTGCCAAAAATTAATCGATTAATGCTTTTCTGACGATTAATCACACACGATACGATTATGCCCAACCCTATTGGATTTTATGGCAACACAAATCTAATCAAACTTATTTGTTTAGCACATTTAAAAACTGCCACTCAGCAAAGTGTTGCACTTTGTTTCATAAACAGAAACAAAATGATGCACCTCATGTCATAGACGTAATTTGCGGGGGGATTACRGGGGTTATGACCCCCACATTAATTTGATCTAGTGAATATAACCCCCCAATAAAACACCATTAGCTCTGAACTGGTGAAGCACACAGCTGCAACTCTTGTTGTATTTAAGTAACTTTGACCTGATTTCAAAATTTACAATGTCATAAAAAATGACATATTATATACGTTTAAGCATAATTGCTGAAAATAACATGTAGGGTTTTAGTCTGCTTTTGTCACATTATGACTGGATTGTGTTGTAATTTTTCCTAGACAAACTGTAGTGCACCAGGTAAATACATACTTTTGGAAATTTTAGAATTGTAAGTTATGTCGTATAAAACTGTAAAAATGTCAAATATTTGTTATTGTTGGGGAAAATGGGGGGGGGGGGGTAAGCCTTTTCTTAATTGTAGAACTGACGTGAAACAGAGAAGGTGCAGAGTAAATACAAAAAACAAAACAAAAACAAGTTAAGTAAATTCCAACAAAAGCAGTACGATGTATTTTAACCCTCAAATATCTTGAATTGCTTTACAAAAGTAAACAATTCAATTGATAGTCAGAGAGACCTAAAGTTACGCCCTTGCTTTATGTATTAAAAAACAGTGAGTACAAGATGAAATTTTAAAACACCAAGAGTTGAAACCTGTCTGATTTTAAGGAACTACAACAACAGGTTAGGAGCTACAGCTGAAAAGGCCCGATCACCTCTTGGACCAGTCTGGATCTCTGGACAACTAAAAGCAAGTGATTATTAGATCTAAGGGATCTGGAGGGCWTRAGGCTGCAGGAGGTCARACAAGAGTCTCTCCATTCAGGACCTTAAAGAGGACACATCATGAAAAAAATTCACCTTTTTAGTCATTTAATGCATTTTGTGTTGTTGGAGTCTGCATTTTTTTTTTGCCTCTCCCAGTGCTGCGTAGATATCTATATTTATTTGGGGGTCGTATTTTTCAACTCGTTCAGTTTTCTCTATTTTCTATGATGTTTTCTGAGCTATTATGTCACAGTATTTGTGATAGAAATTCTAAATAAGGTCTGGACTTACCAAAAACAATGTGTGTCTCCTCTGGCTCCAACATACAAGGCTGGATGGACAAGTCTTCCCTTGTTGTTGACACCTTTTAATTAAATTGAAGAAAATAAAATAAGTGTGTGCGCTGCTATACAGTATATATGTATATGTATGTATAGTAAATCCTTTAATCAAGCTAGCATGGACCACTCTGGAAGATGGAGGGGGGGTGGGGGGTTTGAAACGCCTCGTTTGGATTTAAAGAGACAGCCTCAAAATGAGTTTTTCTCAGACACACCTCAGAAAAGGGGTGACAGAGGGCCTTGTGGATTTACAATGAGGAGGAATTCAGAGCAAAACATTGCAGCTCCACTTTATAACGACCCCAACTGAATGAGAAAAAGATGGACTTAAAAGCACAACATGTCTCCTTTAAAACCCCAAGATAAAACTTCAAAAGAAACCCAAAAGCCAACAGGAAGGTCAGAAAGCCAATATTATAGACGTGTTCACAGTTTTTTGTTTATTAAAAAAACGAGCATCATGCAGGTCAGTTCAACACCTGGACTCTTCCACAGGCTGTTGTAATAGATGTAGTTTATGGGTTAAGGTTGACTTGCTGCAATAAGCAAGTCCTCTGAAAAAAGACGCTGTCTGGGAGCATAATGTGACACATCACATCRAAACAAGGATGAAGTTTCATATTGGTTTGTGGAGAAATAGGCAGCTACAGAACATCGGTTAAAACATTTGCACATGTTGAATTTTGTCAAAAAAAATAATGCCCACATWTAATTTCTTAAGGATACAAAAAAGTTTCGACGTGACAAATAAAACMTTTTCAGCCAATCTGCCAGAGTTTATGAGCTTTTAATCCAGCACTGTTTGCGAAAAATACCATCTTAAATAATACAGAAATAAGAAAAACGTTTGAAAAATGAAGGACTTGTTTGCATTAGTGGTTATTAAAGAGTAGAAGTGAAGGTCCTTTTATGATGAAGCCAGATTTGTCCATATAGGTTTGCAGCATTAGGCCACTTACGCAGAATTAGATCCATTATCGCAATAAAAACGTCTGCACATTTCTGGAAGTGCACATAAAAACACTTTAACGACGATGAAATCATAACCTCAGAAGAGTGTCGCTGGCAGCACAGGGACAGTTCATGAGTCTAAAACCTCCAATTTCCGGGATGAGAGAAAGAAAAGAGGGAAGAAGAGGAGGTGAAGAGAGCACACTCTTCATCAGGGCATCTGCAGAGGCGTGGTCGTTACTTATCTTAAACCATGACATGGTCGGGAGGATGACGCACAGCGCTCAGTGGGGACGGACGACCTGTCAGSTTCTGTCAGGGTCACGGGGTCCAAACCGGCCCAGAACTCGCTTCCATTACACTTCCATCCATCAGCTGTAATGACACACTCAGACAGCCTTTATTACCTCACTGTGCTCAAACCCTGGCTGGTAGTAAAAAAAAAAAAGTGTCACAAACACGGTCAGAAAAGAAAATGCTCTTAGTTGGTTTTTTTTTTTTAGCTTTTCTTTGTCATCTATTGAAGCTTGCATCATGCCTGACAAGCAAATATAAAGCTGGATTTAGCAAGCTTTGGAATAAAAATGCTCCTTTTTAAACTTCTACAAAAGGTTTTGTTTTTATGCATGGTTTATGTCATCTATCTGTCCAGCTTAAAATAAAATACGATAGAGCAAAATAAAATACCACATCTTAAACAGAGCACCTGCTTCATCATAACATCAGCTTCTCTACAGCTACATAATCCTACACTGCACTTCAATCCTCTTAAACCACCTCCAGCAACACCCCCACTGCTGTGCTGTCATGTGTTAAACACTGAAAAATCATTAGCTAGCTTTGCACTAAAGTGAACTAAAGAGTGCCAAACGTGCAAAAACCTGGGCGTTCGTTGTTTGAGCCGGTTTTGTGGGGAAAAAAAAAATCCAAATCGTTCAGAGCGTTTCAAGTACAGCRAGGCCTCTCTGCATTTTGTGCATCAGGCAGCTCACGAGCCCAGAAGGCTGCGATGGAGATCTCCTCAGGGGAGTGTAATTAAAACGCTGGCACCTGCGGGACATCCCACCTGCTCCAAACGCAACAAAGTTCTGCTCAAATTAACATGATGAAAAACTCCACAGGCAAAAAGGTCAAAACTATTCAATCACACAGAGTTGAATGAAATACCTCAAAGTCAGACTTGAGCAAAAGTATGAGTTTGTCTCCTCTAAGARTATTACTTCAATAAAAGTCTTCAAGTGCCTGTGACATCACATTTTTGTAATAAACATGAATGCCTTTTTGGAAAGATAACATTGATAACATATTGCAAAAAAAAAATCATGCTTCTCAGATGAACAACTGTTGAGATATTTGCATGTGAAGTGACAGGAAGTGATGTCAAAGGGGTATTTCTGCTGTGTGACTAACAACACAGGCTGTAGAGAAGAATCTGATGTTTCTTTAAATCATTTTGAGTCACAATCAAAGAGAAAGAGGAAAAAGAGTCAGAGTTACAACATTGTTTCAATAAACAAAGACCAGGCCGTTTTCATTATTAAAGAGTTCCCCTTTGATGTCACTTCCTGTTTCACTTTGGCTAAACCAAGTTCAAAAGAAAATGTTCCAGTTATGTAACAGAATGAATAAAATCCTGTGTATTATGTAAGTTTCTTAAATATATAAATGTTTTCTTTGACCTTTTGTATTTGAAGGATATGCATGTCACAGGCACTTTAAAGTATTTGACGTTTACTGTATTTAAGTATTAAAAGTAAATTTCTGACACAAAAAATTTCATTAATAAAAGCATTGAGTAAAAGTGATCAGTTAGAATTCCCACATTTATAATTATTAGGTGTCCTCCTAAAAAAAAACATTTTTCTAAAGGTCATAATGTCTATAAGCAGGAATAATAAACATATAATGAAAATGTAAGAAGTAGAAGTAAAAGGTTAGCTGTAAATTATTTACACAAACTCTGCTGCAGTAAATACAGGTGAAGTGAAAAGTGATAAGTAGGTGCAAAAAATTAAGGCCAGCCATCAGAATTTGAAGTACAGATAAAAACTTTATTGATGTTTTTATACCTCCTCAGGTTGTGAACAGCGAAATGCTGCAGTAAGGTTCGTACAGTTGTTCCTTGTGTGAAGGACAGCGGTGCAAACACCGGATGAAATCAATCACCTCCTACATGCTACAAGGACAAGTACCGACTAACACTACGACTGCATGCTCTACTTCTTATTTCACAACACTGAATCCCACAGGGAGTTTTAAAACACGTCACCTGTTCTTCAAACAGATGGTTACCGAAAAGTCTCCTTCTTCTTACAGAAAAATAAGGCCCCTGCTCGAGTTMTTTCACGTCTCGTTTTTGTTTCTGTTTGCTTCCTGACGGTTTGTATTTTACGTAACTTCAGCTGAAGCCGACACAAAGCTCTGCACTCATTGTTACATAACTGTTTACTACACCGCAGATCTGACGAAAACCAAATGTTTTTGTTTGTTTTTTTCCCAAGGACAGAGCTCTTGTAAGGCTTCTTATCGTGATAGCAAAAAAAAAAAAAAAAAAAATCAGCAGACTGGCAATAAATAAAAACAGACGCGTAACATTCGGATGTCTGCACGTAAGGCAAATAAATACAATAAGTGATGCACCGACAGCGCAGCACATGTAATAGTTCTGATACAAACCATGAAATTAAATTAACCTTCAATATTTGAAGAGGCTGATGAGCAAGGCACACAAGCTGGGGGTTTCTTCATTTAAAATAAAATACGAGGTGWATACTTTGTGGTTATGATACAGAACAAACAGAAGGGAATTCCAACTGATTCCCAGTGTTTCGACTCTGAACGAAAAGCTAAATTATTTCCACAGGAACCACAATCCTCATCAAACCAAATAATTATAACATATTTTAAGCTGTGCTTCAAAAATTAAAAAAAGTTCTCCAGTGTCACTGATAGTKTTTACTATACATCAGCAGCTTTATGTCTTTAAACTGGTTGTTTAACCTAAAATCAAACAACACATTATGCATCAATAAATAAAGTCTCATACAAAGGCTTCATTTGCAAATTCAAACAACCTTTGGAAACATTTAAGAGGTACTTGTTCAATGAATGTCATGAGTGGAAAAAATGAATTTGACTTTAAATAATTTCTGACGTCCTTCATTAAAGTAAAACAATAAAAACACAAGGCTGCCTCCGGGTTTGCTTTGTTTTGTTTTTTTGTTTGTTTGTTTTTTTGTGTGTGTGTGTTAGCTCATTTTACTCAAAATATGGGCTAAAATGCACTTAAGGTAATATTTCTAAGTTTGATTATAATAATAATAAAGAAATAAATAATCTAAGCTGCCACATTTAGAAAGCTGTGGTTGAGAAATGTTTTTTTTTTAGTTTCTAATTGAATAAAATTGAATCTAAATCATTATCCGGCTATTGAAGTTACAAATATACTGCTTCATGTATAAATTCAGCTTATTATGCTTTTACTTTTCTTCATGATAAAAACATTTATGTCAGCAGTAATGTTTTTGGACACTTTAGAAACAGTCTTTCTTGTAACAAACTTAAACTCTGCAGTGATTTCCTGTTTGAGAGCAGGAGAAAAACATGTAGAAATTGAAACTCTGCTGTGCGCCTGCAACAAAACATTACAGAATTTATTCAAAACACATCCGAGGCAGAGTCAGGCACTAGAAATTTTGACTTTTGCTTATTCTCAAGGGCTACCTAAGTCCAACTGATYAGCCAGCCTCCTGATACGTACCTTAAAATCTTCATAAAAATGTAAACATTCAATCCTATTGCACTCAAGCGGCGTGCCGACATACGACAGAATGTGTCGATACACAACTCCTGTTTACTCATAAAGTGCTTAGCTGTGAAAACGTTTGAGTGGGAGGGGTATATATTCAATAACACTCCCGTTTCTGTGTCAAATTTCAGATTCAACAAGGAGGGACACACTGCAGTGAAATTAAATTATGATTAAAAGCTTCCAAATGCAGTGGGGTTTTTTTATCCGAAAGTGTCAGACAATCTTCCCGTGCTCTCTTGCCTGCAAAACAGAAAAAAAGAAAAAATGTATACAAAAATTAATGACTACATTTGTTGTTWGTTTTATCACAATTTATGTAACTCAGGCCCACCACTTCTCTATATGAATGATTCAAGTGGGCGGTTATTGTGWGTCCTGCTGGACGATGAGATGAAGAGGTTTTATCTGCACTCCGTCAGGCCTCAGAGATGTGGACTATCCTGGGCTCAGAGCTACATTTTATTTTTTTTTTCAAATCTCTCTTCGACCACATCTATTACCCCTCCTCCCCAACCCGACTTCCCCTCTTCACTGACCTTGTCATTGCTGGWGGAGTGTGTTGGGTGCGTTTCTCTGGACTCCATCCTCAAAACAGACAGGCTGGAGTCAATTAGTTCTTCTGCGGAAGAAAAAAATAAAAATAAGCATTAAATACCACTTCGCCCTGATCAAACCTCGAAAATAACCAAACTCTCATATCTCGAGCTCTCCGACGATCTGCTGTGAACAGGGTTTGTACACTTTCCCACAGTAAAATTCAAGCACTTTTTAAGCATTTTCCAGGTAAATTATCAAAATTTTCCAGTACCAAAACTTCTCTCTCTGTGTGCCWTTCTCCAGTGAGCTTTGTAACCCTGGCACAGACAGGGTTTAAATTTTTWAATTCTGTGTAACTAAATCAAATTCTGCAATTTATAGTATTAATTCCAAAACAGACATATAGAAGACATCAGAGGCACAGCACAGCTCCTTTATGAGTAAATCAACCATCAGCTAATCGATTTTACAAGCGTTTTCAATAAAATGTTTTGCTGATGCGCATTTTAAAGCACATTAGATGACATAAAACCATAACTCCATCCATCCATCAAACAATAAAAATTGTACAATAGCTTTAATTTTCTACTACTTTTGCACCATGGCTCAAGCGTGCAGACCCTCCTATCGCAAAAAGCTGCAGGTCCTTCTTGCATTTCTTGCAGGAAGCTACTTGAAGATTTGATCTTTGTTTTGATTTTGTTTCGAGTGTTTTCGACTCATTAAAACAGAAACCGGCTGGCTGTTTTCTCCTCACCTTAGACTAACGCGACYAGCGAGGCACAGTAACGTGCTCAARGTAGATYTGCTTCACAGCTATGCCCGAGGAYGCCGCCGGTCCAGCGGCTGGTCTTTCCATCAGGTGATCTCTGCTGTTCACACCCCGGTATTACAACAAGGAGCAGAGCCACTCTGAGCGACAGCAAGGCTTTATGAGACTCCATCAAAGGCAAAATGAGGCTTTTCATCTTTTAATCTGAAAACACCTTCTTAAMATTTAAGCATTTTAAGGATTTCAAGCACCCATAGGAACCCTGTGTGTAGKACCAAATTTTAGCTCAATAKCTGTCAAACGGGCTGAGTTTAAGGCCATGTTTGCGTTGGTGGCTATTGTTGGCTCCAAAYGTTAACCAGCTGTTTGAAAAGRTCCTTAGAATCCAGAGATAAAGAGATATTTTGCTAACAGTACAGACAAATGAACACACTTCAACAGACTRAATCCATTATGACTCATCTTCAGCWTTGGGCATTAAATAACGTGTGCTGTTACCTGTGTTTGTGCCATTGCTGCTGCATTTGGACACCTCTACAGGCTGCACAGAGGCACTGGATTTTTCAGCAAGAGGGGGGCTGGGAGCTGCGGGGGGGCTTCTTTCTGTTTTAGTGTGTTCGGTTTCAGACACCTGCTGCTGGGCAACAGGAGGAGCAGAGAGACTYCCTCCTTTGTCCTGAGAATCATCCTGCTTCCCAGCAGGAAGCCGCGGCCTCTCCACTTCATGCTTGCTCCTTTTTGGTGATGAAGCTTTTGAGGAGCCTTTGGATTCTGGACCGGCAGAACCTGGAGACGTCTGCTTGGCCGGAGGCGTCTGGACGAGTTCCTCTGAGAAACGCACTTTCTTCTCAGAGCCCCGAGGCGACGAGGTCTGGGCTTTCTTCTGAGCGCCGGGGTCCTCTCTGAGGTCCTGCGCCTCTTCAGGTGCACTCAGCGGGTCCGGCTTTGCTCTCGAGTCCTGATCCTTCGGATCCTCTCTGTTGTCATCCGTCAAGGCATCGAGTTCCTCAAGGAATTCCTCCAGTGTCGTATCAGAAACCTAAGAGATTGACCCCCAATAAAACAAGATGCTACCACTTATTAATATTTATCCTTATTCTTGACCTCTCACCTGCCGGTTCTCTCCATCATCATCATCACCTGCCTGCCACCTGAAACACAAACAGTATAACGTCTTGATCAGGTTTATTCAAAGCACACTGTATTACACTGTATTTCGCTCCTCAGAGCTTGCAGCCACAGAACATGATAGTGAGACCGCCGGGACCAATTTGGACATCCGTTTCCGACTCGGATAAATGGAAAGGAGGAGCTGTGATTAGAGGTATCGACTCAAACTCTCTCGGCCACAGTTGCCACACGGATCTCTCTCTCTCCCTCTCAAACCACAATTAAATCTGTAGCGGAGTGTGTCAGCAGCACAACTAGAGCCTCCAAAGACTCCTCAGCTCTCTGACCCCCCTGTGGTGCTTCCGCTCACCGAGGCATGAAGACAGAAATTCATTAGAAACACCTTTAAACTGAACATGAGCAGTTCCAGCTCTGCTTCTGTAGATTTATGTACAGATTGTAGATATTTACGCAACGCTCGTTTGACCACACTGGAAACGACGGAGAAGAGGAGCTGACTGCGTCGCGATGCAAACAGGGCCTTCCGGGTTTTATTTAATCAGCTGCTACAAACTTCTAAATCAAGTCTCATGACACGCAGGGAGAATCTGTACACAAGGGCACAGTTCAGGAAAACAGAACGGCCTTCCCACATCCCACTTCATTAGTCATGGTTATTTCTCTCATGACAATTAATCAATGCAACCAGAAACATCCCAGCGGGTACAGAAAAGCATATAATGTGGATTATGTTTGGCAGTTACTGACCTCCTGGCCCTCCCAGTCAAACGATCCTTGCCTTTCGCTTTACTGCTCATCACAAGCACGTTTTTAGCTGCCTTGTCTTTGCCTCTCTTATGACCTGAAACAGAAAGTCTCATTTTGTAATCACAGCCCTTTTTTAAAATTACTGTATGGCTGAATAAATATTGTGTAGCGTACTTCTGGAGTCACCGCCCGCCTTTTGTTGCCCTCTCCTTGCACCTCTACCTCCTAAAACGATATAAAAGTGTCTTTTTAACATGGTGTATTCAAGCAAAAGATCCTCCTCGTGGTGTTTGGTCAGCATCAGTGTTTTACCTCTGCTCGAAGGCCCCCAGTCTCTGTCAGGAAGGCATTTCTCTGAAAACCTAAAAGAAAAAAACTGTTTAGACAGAAGCAAAAAAAAAAACAAGTGGGCAAGTTTCCAAACTGTTCATCACATTCAGCTCATCTGCAGCCCATAATCAGGATTCTCTCATTTTTCAGACAATTGCAGGACATTTTTTAAAAGCCTACACAGTAAAAAAAAAATGTACAGAACCAATTAGTCACACCCTTTTATTTCACATTCACTGACACCATAAAACTTGCTGAACAAAAAGCACATTTCCGCCTGTGTTCTTGATCTGGGTCGTTGTTTAAGCTTCACCAAATAAGGCAAACTATTCCATCCCTTATCCCTTTGGCTAAAAATAGCAGATCCTCCCTTGTCTCTTTACATTTTGATGCTTCCTGAAAACAGAACATTACACGACTCCTTGGGTTACACCACCTTAGTTTGAAATATAACAAAACATTTCAAACTAATGGGCTGTATTTTTAATTCCAGTCAGTTTGGGGTGCTGTTGTGAGGCTTCACCGAGTGACGGGACTTTACAACACACATGTTAGCAGCCAAAATATTTACATGGTGATGAAAAGAGGGAAATATTTGTCACTATGATGCATTCTATGCTTTTACATGATCTTGTGATTATGTGGCAGAACATGCAGCTCTAATAGATTAATCTACTTTGTTATTCCTCCACTCTGCTGCAGTGAAAGCAAACCTGAACTTTTGATAAGATATGGTCTAAGATATGTAAAGAAAAAAACTATAAAACTAGAGTTCTGATTCTGAAGCAAGTGCTCGCAGTGAGGTGAACACAAACACAAAATATCCCTGCTAAAAAATATCTATCTCTGTTTTTGAGGATTAGAAACTCTGTGGTAGTGGGATGTTTCCAAACAAGCAAGTCGTAGTTTAGAGTAGTGGTTCCCAAACTTTTTATCTTCTGACCCACAAAATATCCATGGCAAAAACTTGTGACCCCAAATATTACTGGTCTGAGTACACGAACTTTGTTAATAACCCTAAAAACACAGGCTTTTTGACAATCTAAACAGCTTGTACACAAATATAAATACTTATTTATACTTATTTTGTGTTTTTGTAACAGTTATCGGGAAAATATTACATCATCAATTATTTTATTACCCTTTAAATTGATTTCTGGAGATTATCCAAGGTGCTTCATGACCCATAATTGGGTCCCAAGCCCAACTTTGGGAACCAAAGTGCAGTGGTTCCCAAACTTTTCAGCATTTGACCCACAAAATAACAGTAGCAGAGACCTGTGCCCAACTATGTTTGGATGATAAACATTTGTATCAGGTCAACAAAACATGGGCATAGTAACAATAATTTTATACTACATTTATCCATTTTAAATACACTAACCTCACTCCTTTGTAACAACTAAGRCAAAAATGTAATTAATTCAGAAAATCTTTTCAGGACCCCACTTTGATGTTTCAGGACCCCACTTTGGGTCCCGACCCCAACTTTGGGAAACACTGGTTTAGATGAACATCTGCTCAGACTCAAACGATAGCTAATTGTGTGAATGCTTCATAACATCCACACTATTAAGATCATTTTTCTTCCCTACGTTTTTCGACATCTTGTTCCACAATTTTTAGTGCTATTTCAACATTTCATACATCAAAACGTTCATCTCATTCATGTGAGGGGTGCTATGACTTTTGGTATTTCAGCTATTTATACTTTTTCATCTATTTCACTTTTTTTAGCCACTTTTTGTCATTGAAAATGAATGGAGCTGTTTTCAACATCCTTAAACTCCTTTTAAAATGTTGCTAAATCTTTAAAGCACCTTACACATTTTGTTCTGGTTATGCTTATTTTCACTTTCCTGTGCTAACTTTAGCTACTTTTTCTACTAGTTTTAGCTTTTTTCTGCTATTTCAGCTAAAATTCTGATATTTTTTCAGCTATTTATTTTTGCTTTTATCTATTTTTTTGTGCTTTTTTCTGCATCTTGTGCTATTTAGACTTCTTACAAATGCTTTATGCTATATTCAGCCATTTGCCAAAATTGTAGCTAATGTTTAGGTGCTATTAGCTAAAGTTAGCTTTTCTAAGCTAAATACCCATTATTTGTAGCTATTACAAATTTTTTCGACTGAGTTCAGCAAAGTTGTGCTCCTTATGCTTCCTTATGCTAATTAAAACATTTCCAGCTACATTTTAGCTGTTTTACTGAAAAAAAATAAATGAATATTTTAAAAAAGCATTTTTCTTTTAAGACTAACAGCACTAGTGAAGACAAACTGCATTGTGTGATAAGTTTAAATATATCCATCCTTTTCTGATTAAAAGAGCTTCAACTAATAGAAAAAAGGGAGCCAATCAAAGACCCAATTAAAAACTCCGACTTGAGAATTGTTAAATAATTGGGGATAAAGTGTCTTGGGAAGTGCAAAAAGGTCTTACATGTTCTCAGTTTTGTCCACGTCCCACGCCCGCCTCCACTGACCCTTGGCGTTTTTGTGGCGCGCCACCCTCTCCCTGTCGATCTGTTCGCGCTCCTTCTTCCACCGCAGGTACTCCTCCTGCTCCTCCTGAGACGTTGGGATGTCGAGGTCCGTGCTGGCGTCAAGGATTTCAGGCTCCTATTTGGACACAAAACACTTAGTTATGTTTTAATAAGGCAAAATTTTAAAAAGTGGAGGATTAATTAATACAGATACACTCCTGTCAGTTTACAAAATGCATGTGAAAAACTAGTTGAAGGTCATATTAAGTATAAGCATCGCAGCCTCGTCATAAATACTCTGATTTAATGGGGTTCTCTTTCTCCAGGGTGTGGTTGTTTTCTAATTCTAAAAGTTTATCAGATAAGGGTGCTTTAATATTTATAAATATAGTTGTGATGCTACAAAGCCTTAAAGCAAAGCAGGATGACCAACGACACTCTGCTCTGACAGAAATCCCATAAAACACCAGCAGATTGATAGCAGGAGGCAGAGAATGTTGCTGTACAAAAAAAAAAAACAAAAAAAAACAACAACTGTATTTTCTGGAACAAGAAAACACATTTAAATCTACATAATGTCCTGCACTTTACTTCAACTGAAACAATGAAGGCAGTAAATTAAAGTAAACAAGAATCCTGGTAAGAATGGGTGAGATTTTCCATTCAGGTTTGGACCAATCACAGCGAAGTAAACATGTTGGCCTTTCTGTATACGGTTGTTTGAGAACACAGCGTCTGAGCTCATCCTTCTGTTTATCTTTTTTTTTTTCTTCTTCTCTCTACACCTCCCTTATCTGCGGCCCTCAGGGGACCTCCAGGGCCACACGGGAGGTCAGTGCCGCATGTTCCAACAAGTCCGCCTCTGGCCGCCRCCCCAGCTGTTAATTAAAACTTCTCAATTCCTCCGTCGCTTGGAAAGTGCCRGGGACGGAGGCAGGTAAGCGCAGACGGGCGGTGGATGTGAAAAATGGTCAACTATAAATAAAGCCAAGGATCATCTGGCTTTTATCTCACAAATAGCTCAGATAAAAAAAATAAATAAATACAAATCACTGGGCTGAACTGTAGTWGCTTGGGGAAACATAAACAGAATAACCTGTCATGTGGTCTGTTTATGTTGTGCCTTTGAAGCCCGTCCTCCCCGCCTTCCCGTTTATCACACGGCGGATCTGCGAGACAGCTCGGAGCTACGCCACTGACAGCAGCACACGAGCAGGATGCAGACGAGGGGGAAAAACAACTAGAAAACAGGAGCGTGCACGACAACGTGTTGTGGCTCCGATGAGGACAGCGTGCAAATGTGCATCTGCRTTTCAGCATGCTTGCCAGTCACATGGGTTTTCTCAAATCTGAGATGGTTTTACTTAGAAATAAAATCACAACATCCATAATTAGGTGCTGGTGTCTGGGGTTTGAGTCATTATGTTACCTGGCATTTAGGATCCTCCTCAACAAGCTTGTCTTCTTGTTCCTGAACACAGGCCTGAAAAACAAAAAGGTGACACAGCAAGAATCACATCACTACTGCTATAAGACGTAAAAGCAAAATAATAAAATAATAACGAGACTCATGTATTGAGGGAGATAAAGAGCCCTGCACTGCCCCCAAGTGGTCTAAATGTGTAACAGCATYAATGCTCGATAAGCAGAAGCATCATCAGAGCAGGTTGATGTTTTCAGGAAGCTGATCTGAGAATTTAATTACTGATTTATAAACATTTAATTCAACTCATTGCAAGACGAGATTTATAGATTATTTCTGGAAAAAAAAACACTGTGAGAAAATTAGTGAGTCGAACTGTGAGCAGCAAAGACACCCTTATATCCAGTCACACATCCAGATATACTCTAAAAACCTCCGGTTACCTTCATTTCTCTTTTCATCTCTCCTCCACATCTCCTTCTTCCCATTTCTCCCTACCTCTTTCCTGGCACCTAGCCAGCTTCATCTCTGCGGCAGCATAATGAACCTTTTCAGAGCGAGGAGGCAGTTGAATGTTAATTAGATCAAATCGGCCTTTTCACGATGCTGGGAAATGAGAAACAGTCATGTCAGAGGAGTGCAGACCACTTGAAGTTTTAGAGAGGCGAAATGGAGACTGGAAATAGACAGACAGTTGGTGGAGACCCCCCCCACCCCCTTCTGGCGCCCCTTTTGTTTCACACACAGTCTCTCATGTCATGGAGACATTTAAGCATTAAATCTGAATGTGACACACCCGGCAGGCTCATGCGTTATTTCCAGGGTGTTTTTAATTAGAAAAAACTCTGAGAGGTGGCCAAAAGCATAAAATATGTTGAAAGTTGAGCTCTCCTGGTGTTCTCCTCTCCAGTTAAAAAGACACAGATAATGTAAACACTGACCATGTGGAAATGAGGTTTCTGGAGCTGCCAAGTGACTGGAGTCCTGGCTACTGTTCAAGTGCTGATTCAGTGCACGTGACAAATAAAAGGAGACAGACCAAGCGGGCCAGAAATAAAAGCACCAGAACACTGTGTTCAACCAGATTTAGTGCACATTAGCTCAGAAGGCCCAGCGCTCCGTTTCAGCCAATCAGAGGGTTATATGCACACTTTTAAAAAAAAGCCCCAACATCCACGGCTCTAAACTTGAGTGTGTGTGTGTGTACTTGTTTCTGCTACAGAGTGAGGACCACTTGCAAAATATTTACAATCAAAGTGGTGTAAAGTGAGGACCTTTCCCCAGTCCTCACTTTTTTCAGCTCTACTGCGCTCTTAGTTAGAGGTATGGTGTGAATTAAGTTTTGGATCAGGTTAGGTTTAGAAATAAACTACTAATGGTTAGTGTAAAGGAAGCCGGTATTCCCTACGTTGTGGGGATCTATTTTAGCATACACACCTTCTTGTGGGGACCTAGTCCCCATGAGGTGAAATGCCATCGGTGGGTCAGGGGTTAGGGTTAGGGCTAAGGTGTCGATTGAGTTTAGGTTAGTTTTAGGGTTAGTAGTGTTGTGTCTTTTCCTGGTTCGTTTCTGCTCGGTTCGGCTGGGCTTGTCAGCTGCTGGACTCTCACTCGTTTCCCCTCCGTCTGCTGTCGGTGGCTCGGACTCTCTTTGTCTCCTCACCCTCTGTTGCTGCTTCGGAGCTGGGTTGCTG